CTGCCGGGGCCTCCAGCAACTGCCGCCAGGTGTCCAGGTGTTCGCCTCACCCTGCATATGCGCGCATCCTGCCGAACCAGTCCTTGAACTATTGGCTGGCCGAGGCGATCTGCGGGTCGCCCATCTTGAGGATATGTTCTCCATCTTGTGCGAGCCCTTTAGCGTAGGCCTCACGTGCTTCTTGTTGGAGAAGATCTGCCTGCCTCCTGGCCTCGTCGAGGGCCATCTGAGCGTGCGCCAGCCTTTTGTCCAACTCTGCCTTGGCCTTCTCGATCTCAATCTTCTTCTCGACCAGATTGTTCTCGAGCGTGGCCACCGTTCCCTTCGCCTTCGACAGGCGAGTGTTGATGGACATCTGCTGGACATGCAGCGGTTTGGCCTCTTGTAGCGCCTTCTGCAGCCGTTCGACTTGCGCATCTGCGAGGGCCCGATCATCATCATGAGTCGAGAGACGGGCCGCCTTCTGCCAATGCGCAAACCTCTCCTTGATTTCCTTGACTTCCTTCCCGTCGTCCGACTCTGTGCGCCAGGGCGGCTTGGCTTCTCCAGCCTTGCCACCTTTCTACATCGCGTCGAGCCTCTTGAGGATGGAGCCCAGGGCATCTTGCAGCTGCGGGCCACCTTGGGCCCACTCCCCTCTTGGCGGTTGATGTTGAGCGCCTCCTGCCACGGCCTTCTCAAGTGCTTCCTTGGCTGCTTTAGACACCTCAAAGGGCACGGGGCAGCTGCAAGCACACTTTATCCGAGGCGCCCAATTCCCTTTTCCTGTGACAACTCGCGCAACTCCACAATGGCTTCCGTGGACCGAGGAGAACGTCCTTCGAGCCAACACCAGTCGACATCGCACGGCTAGCACAGGTGAGATGGGTCTGCTCCGACAGGAGGTCACCAAAAAAACAAGCAGCAACTCGCCTGGCCAAGGCAGACGAGGGGAACGGTGGGGGCCGCTGCTCCCCCTTGCCAGAAAAGGCCAGGTCCTGTGCCAAAAAAGGCTACGGACTTGAGCCAAC